TGGAGGCCCCATTTCGCAACACATACGTTACGCTTGGAAAGGGTTCAGAAAAGGTTTCTATGGCACGTAGCGTTCTCTGTAGATAAAGCTCGATCGTTAAAATCGTACAAAAGTAGGCTTCTAACTTTTAAGTTATTACCACTTGAAGCAAGAAATGACATTTCGGATTTGATGTTTGTATACAAGCTTTTCCATAATAAGATAGACTGTCCTCCTTTGCTAAATTCCTTTTCCTTCAGAATACCTTCTCGGCTTCCGAGAATGCCTATTCAGCCTATGAACCCACCAATGCGTAGGACTAAACTTGGCCATTTCTCTCCTGTTCCTAGATTGAGTAGACTTTACAATGAATGCAGCACATTGGTAGATCTTAATTTTGATTCTTCTGAACATTTTCGTAAACAGATCAGGGACTTTGTCACCAAAAAATATCTTCTGTAATTTATTAAAAAATAACTTAAAATAGGTTTAATGATTGTTCTTTCACATAGAGGTAACTTTATGATAACTAAACTTTTTTATTTCATTATTAAACGCATGATGTGTTCTCCTATAAGTAGTTATGCACTTAGCTTAAGACATCTTGGAACTTGTATTTTTTTTATTCAAATGTACTGTGTTATAACTGTTGGAGAACCTAATAAATAAATAAATAAATAAATAAATATTGTACAGACCATAATGTAGATAGAGCTGTAAATAGTATAAATAATGCTTTAGACCAATTGTACATATATTATAATGACAGGTTGGCCCTACAGATTAACCCCAACAAAAGCAAGGCCATGATTTTTAGTAAAGATTTCCCCTCTAATGGCATACTCTACAATAATCATCCAATTTCAGTTGTACCTAACCATAAATTCTTGGGTGTTTTCATTGATAACAAACTTTGTTTTGATTTACACATCAATCACATTATAACTAATTCTCTTAATGGCCTAAATATTATAAGATGTTTAGCTGGTGTGACTTGGGTGCAGACCCCAAAGTTTTAAGTATGCTATATAAATCTGTAGTCAGAAGCCACTTTGCCCCTCCAGCCATCGCCCCATTAGCCTCCTCAAGGCAATGGGCAAGCTCTTCGAAAGAGTCATCCAAACGCGTATGAGGCGCTATCTGTTTCCCACAGACGGCGACCCTCTTATCATTCCCCATCAATTCGGTTTCCGAGCCAAACACTCATGTCCCCAACAAGTTCACCGCATTGTGGAATATATCCTCAGCGGTTTCTATCCTCGTCGTCATAAGACCATCGCGGTCTTTTTCGATATAGCTAAAGCTTTCGATAGAGTCTGACACACAGGCCTCATCTACAAGCTCTACAAAATAGGTCTCCCCGATCGTCTAGTTCGTCTCGTGGCCTCCTATTTAAAACATCGTACCTTTCGTTTTAGACACGAAGGCACGCTTTCTTCACAGCGAACTATCAAGGCTGGTGTCCCTCAGGGCTCAGTACTTGCTCCTCTGCTGTACATCCTGTTCACCAACGACATTCCCATCCCGTCGAAAGGTGTTCAACTCTCCCTCTTCGCAGACGACACTGCCATCTACTGCAAAGGTGTCTCACTACCCTTCATACGGAACAAGATCCAAAAGTCAGTTGATGACCTAGGAGCTTGGTTCAAAAAATGGCGCATCGATGTGAACCCGGAGAAGAGCTCCGCCGTTCACTTCGATTATAAACGACGCCGTCTCAAAAACACTCCACCAATACGTATGCTAGGGACCCCTGTCCCCTGGCATACGTCCGCCAAATATTTAGGTGTCACTCTAGACGCAGGGCTCACTTTCAGGCCCCACGTCAAAAGAGTAACCCGTCACGCACGGTTTTACCTGAGTAGGCTCAACAGTATGTTGGGCCGACACAGTAAAATGTCCCTTCGAAACAAGCGTACCCTTTACAAGGTCTGTATACGACCAGTCATGTCCTACGCGAGCCCCGTCGTTGCCCACGCAAACCCTAATATTTTAAATGAACTCCAAATAGTTCAGAACCTCTTCTGTCGTCGAGCTGCGAACGCATCGTGGTACGTCTGTAATGCCGACCTTCATCGGGACTTAGAGCTCCCAACAATTCAACAATTTTTTAAAAAACTCTCTGAGAACTTCTTCAAAGCCTCAGAGTCGCACCCAAACCATTTAATTCGTGAGGCAGCTTCTTACGCAGCCCCACCCCCCCCCTCTCGCTATCGTGTCCGCAGGCCGAGAAACTCTCTCTCGGACCCGCCTAATAAACTGTCAAACGACCTGAACTGTCTCCTGGCGGCTCAGGCCAACTCTAATTAAATTAAATTATTGTAATAACTAACATTAATTTGCCTTCATAGGCACTCCCTCAGCGGCACTTAGCCGCCTGCGCCCTCTTTTCCCAAAAGAGGGTCGCTCAGATGGAAATACAGCTTAATCAGCCGGTTGCCTGTCCCCAAAGGCGGTTTTTAGAGGGTATCACTTAGGGTCCCCGGTAGGACAGTGAGCCCCTCATAACAACGATAGACCGGCTATCGTGGTATGCGTAATGGATAGGGTAGCCCTTTAATTGCTTCGGGCGCAAAAAAACACTTAAATGTTTAATATTAAAAAATATTTTCTTTTTACAAAATATGCTTATTTTAACATGTTCAAAGTTGGAATTTCTTAAATATTTAACATAGAAAGTTAAAACAATGTTTTCCACTCGAAATTATACATATCTTAACTAATACAATAGTTTAATTTACATTTTCTCTATACATTTTACTATTAAAACACTTTTAAATTTCTTTTACAAAACTATCATTATTTCACTTATTCACAGGAATTTTCACATAAAATAACACAGAATTCACCTCTTTTACACATACAATCAATCTGAAATGTTTTACAAGTGATTTTACATAAATTGCTGATATTTGCAAATATTTAAATTTCTACATATTTGGCCTCCTAAGTACGTGGCTAGCGTGCGTCTATGAACTCACACTATTTGAACAACTAACTTTTGCACGTCTATCTACTATCAGTAAAAATGGAAAGTTTAGTATACACTAATATCAACAATACTAGGTTAATAAATGATTCTACTCTATTCTCAAACGCCGAAAACTACCTCTAATCAGATTCTTATCAGTTATCATGTTCCTTATCAAACAATATAAGTGAATGTTTTCATAAATCAATCATAGAAAATAGGCATTTGTTTTCATACAAAACATATCAAACTCATATAAGACAATACTTATGCAATTAATTTCCATTAATTCTAGTTATGCACAGCGATCATCTCGACCGGGGAACAAATCCGGTAACATAATTTATATCTTAAAATTCCCTATATGAATTTATTAAGAGATATTACTAAGAAAACGATAAACTATTCCGGCCTGGGAGTCGAACCCAAGACCTTTATATCATCAATTCGATATTTCTTTAAGATTCAAATAAGTATTTTTTATCGGAATATTGTTGCTTGATAATTTGCTTTTTAGAAGCTATTCGTAATCGGTTAACTAATAAATTGAAATATTCTTATAGGCGCGTCGCCAACAAGTATGTAAATGTAGTCTTTGTTCACAGCACAGATTAAGTTAGACCAACATTCCACAGGTAAGATTAGAATTAGAATTTTAGAAATGAAAATGAAATGACAACTTTTCGATATTGTTGGATGCGTTCATAAATATTTATTTTATTCAAATATATATTGAGTTCAAATTATCAACCAAGTACGACCGGTTGTTTTTGCGTCCCCCAACAGCAAAAAAATAAAAAACTGCGGTATCTGACCCAGCCAGTTTGGGAATTTTATCGCTAGTTCTTGAATCAGGTGAATCAGTCCGATTCGAGAGGTTTTTGGATCGATTCAGTGAATCGATGCGGTCTCGGAATCAATCTAAAAGATCGATTATTTTACGCCAAAGAATCGTACCCCTAGTGACAGATGAGGTGACAACATAGATAAATAAATATGTAGGGTGACAGTGCAAGATCCCTCCCGCCGCCTGAGTGATATGTTAAAAAATAGATCCTATTACATGCCTCTATATAAATTTATCAAAAATACAGTGGGGAAATTATAATAAACCGAATAAAAATACTCAAGACTTGGCCTAAAGGTAGATACCAGATACCTAGATACCAGGCCATAAACTCCAAAAAAAAGCATTTTGGACTCGCAGTCTCGCACTTCAAATGGCAATTTCATTTGACAACTCAATTTATCTTGACAACTAAAATGTTTTTGTTTACTAAGGGTATGTTCCGAAATACAACGCAGTGTACTGTCCAATGCAAATGACGTCATGAATCGACGCTATACTGGTGATTCGTTCCAAAACATTGGCCAGTATATGACGTCATACTTTTGCGCCATTTGGAAACGTGTTGGCGATTATTTTGTCATTTTGTGCTCCAAAAATCATTACATCCTGCTAATGGACATACCATCAATTATTCTATAATTTTTTGTATTTGAATAAATAGAAACAAATTCTGGCATGCTTCATTCGGCAAACACACAATTAAAAATTGTTTTATTATGGCCGGATATCCGACACAATATGGCGGCGGCACGCTAGTACAATAAAGTGTCAAATGATACGTCATTTGCATTGGACAGTACACTGCGTTGTATTTCGGAACATACCCTAAAATTATAGAGTAGAGTAATATAACTAAAATTATAATTTGTTTTAACTTTTATCTCATTCTATAATATTGAGTAATAAATTTTGATTGTTTACTATCTAGTTTACGCGTTTTAAAATGAGTTTAATAGATCGAATCGTTAATTTATTCAAACATGGAAGAAACTAGTATTAAAAGTAGGCTTGAAAGTAAATAATGAGTCGTATAGTTCAAGGTTTTATAACATACCACATAAAGTATGTATATAAAATTTAATTCATGAGTTCAAAGTCTAACTTTTCCACTTCCAGTTTGCTTTAAACTATAAACTGTCGGTGGTGTGTATTTTACTACGGTTGTGCGCGTTTCTAGCTACGTTTTATTTTTATTATCACATGCAGGTAAGTGATGCTGAACAGTTGTAATTTTTTCTCTCTATTGACATGGAATTTTATACCAATTAAAGTGATAATACAAAATTAATGTTAGACTGTAACAAAGCTTAGAGTTAGTTATTTATAAAACAATTTAAAAATTTAAAATAATTTAAAACGTAGATTATGGAATGGTTTAAATAAAATTTATGTTATGTATTCAAATGTAAATATTATACTACCTAATATAGTTAACATTAAGGTATTTAAAATCATCTCACTTGATAAATTGGAATTTGTTATTGCTTACTACTTTGCGTTTTATATGTATCAAAACAAACTTAAAAAAATATGTCAATATTTGTATTAGTTACTTCAAAAAATATAGATCAACTCAATTCATCATTAAATCTGATTGAAATTTATATATTGCCCTAGTAATATTACACTAATGGTATAAAGCCTCACAACTGGTTCACTAAGCTAGGAGATGGTCTATTACATACATAAATAATAATATTAAAGTATAAGAAACTTAACAAACACACATTAATCCTGTGTGGTAATGATCTTAGTGGATACTAGATCTAGTTACAAAATTATTGTAGTGTCATCATTTCTTAATACATCTGAAAAAATTCAGATTATTCCTTAGCCCAGAAGTTGCTGAATAATAAATAATAAATTTTTATTAGTTTATGCATATATTTATATCTACAGATGAAGCTAGTAGAAGTGTATTAAAAATAGTATTAGATTGAATAAAACTATATTTACGGATTTTATTGCGTTTAATTATATTAAGAAAATTCATAAATATAGTTTTATTCAGGGTGTAGTGTTCACATATATTTAAGAAATCATTAAATAATAATAGAGTATTAAAATAACAAACAGCACATATTGATCATGAGCTGTTTATCCTATTAAGAGTAATGAGTATAAATTAAATTGTATTGTGATTGTTTTTTTTTTGTTTTGGTACTCGTAATGTTATACTCTTGCCAAATTATCCTTTGTAATGTTTTATTTCAAAAACTTCTTTATGTGCCGATGCATCACTTTCTTGGAAGATTTTGACAAGAGATTAACACAACTAATAGTTGATGACAAAAATATTTCAAGTTCTTAAGGTGATTAAGCTGACAAAATATTTTGAGGTTTAATCAACATTGGAGCACTTGTTGGGTTGCTTTCACTTATGGTGCTCATCACAAAATCGCATCACTTTTATGTATCAAAATATAAGCAAATATAGCAGACCTATGGTTATCTGACAGATTACATATAAAATAATAAAAATAAAAATGTCATGTGATGCACAATGAATATCTAAACAGTAAATAATGAAGGCCCGTTAAAATACTACCAGTTACATTTGAAATGAGACAATATGCATCAAGCTAGGTTTGTGATGGCAGCGAACTAATTGCAACCTAATTGTCCACGTATTCGCGAAGGACACCTTCCCCCTTGGCGGATTCATACCGCAACTCGAATCTACCTAGAAGTTAAAGACAGGTCGGATTACAAGGGGGGACGGATTAGCCAGGGGCCAGATACCAGGGGTTGCTGTACCCTTGAAACCATTATTTAAATGATGAAACAGGAGGAAAAATCCACAGATTGTTAAGTTCTCGGTAAAACCTGCATCAGGCGTTAATGTTTCTGTAAAATTCCAGATTATTCACATGGACGGAAGTGGGTGAAAACTGAATCAAAAATTTCTATTTATACATAATAAAGTTGGATTGCTAATACATTCACAATTATTACCAGAAGAAAAACATTCCTAAAATGGCAAGTACACTTAGGCGTACTGGTGTGCAACTGATAAAAAAATCAAAACCAATTTTTCTAACTCAAAGTGTCATGCTGAGTAACAATAAAACTGAGCCAAACATACTCAAATCAGTATATAATGATATACCATGTATTAACAGCACAGTTAATGATTTTGTTTGGCAAAATTTGGACCGTTGGCCTGATAAGACCGCAGTGGTAAGTGTACCTGTATTTTCCTAACTTAATTATTCGTTTCGAGCACACATTCCACCTGGTGGTAAGAGGATGCTGTGGCCTATAGACATCCACATTTAACCTCGATTAAGTATTAAAATGCAGTAAAACAGGTCTCTGGTTCTCTACACACACCATACGAAACACAGCAGTATTACACTGGTATTCTGTGAGAGCGTGGTCCTTCCCCGGTCGAGCCGACCCATTCGTGCTACAACTATATTGTAGCTGCAGCGTGGCTCTACCACATATAAAGAAAAAAAGAAGAATTTCTAAAAGGTTAAATAAACTCAGCACGGAAACTTGGCCAAGCGGTTATCTCGCGATAGCAAAAGCTTTAAGTGTTTCTGATGAATGTTTGTTATGCAAGTATGTCAAAAAATGTTTACCCTCAAGTTCAAGAGGGTAATTCATTATGTTTAAGTGCACCATGGCGAATTCTTTAATTTTTAGTTGAATCGGGTCATTTGAGCGACTAAGTTCACAATTTAAATTTGTGTGTTGTGAAAAGTTTACTGTAAGGTTATTCTATTATTGTGATCTTGTGTCTTAATTAAATAACTAAAGGTGCTTTAAAGCCAATAAAAATGCCATTAACACCAGCACAAGTTGCACAAGCAGTGGCATTAATTGACCAAGGGCTGACACAGCGTGAAGTTGCTATTGTGCTTAACGTACCACGGTCCTCAATGCAGTATTCACTGAAACGATACCAGGAGACAGGCCGCTACACCCGCAGGCCAGGCAGTGGGGGCGTAAGGTGCACATCGGCCGGGACGATCGTTTTATTGTTATGGAGATTTTGAGAAACCGCTACCTGACCGCTGTTGAGATACGCCAGCGGCTCCAAATCGCAAGAGGCGTTAATGTTAGTGAGCGTACGGTGAGAAGACGAATGGAGGAAGTGAATTTAAAAGCTCGTAGACCAGCATGAGGTCCAGAACTTCTCAGACAGCACCGAGTAGCCCGACTTCAGTTCGCAAGAGAACATGTCAATTGGACCCACGAGCAATGGGCTAGAGTGTTGTTCACAGATGAGTGTCGAATAGCTTTACGTGCTCCAGACGGTCGAGAACGAGTTTGGAGAAAAAGAGGAGAGAGGTTTCTACCCATTACCACCACCCAAACTGTGAGTTTCCATGGAGGCTCAATAATGGTATGGGGAGGTGTAAGTGCCGACGCACGTACAGAGTTGGTCATCGTCGATAATCGGCTTACAGCTACTCGATACATCGAGGAAGTTCTTCAGGAGCACGTAATGCCTTATTCGGGATTCATTGGACACGACCAATTCCTCCTCATGCACGATAATGCACGCCCGCACGTCGCACATTGTGTAGAGGAATATCTGGAAGAGGTTGGAATACAAAAATTACAGTGGCCAGCTCGTAGCCCGGACTTAAATCCAATTGAGCATGTATGGGGTATGCCAAAAGAAAGATAAAGTCCAGCTCCTAACCGCCACAAACTCTAAATGAGCTCCGAAATGCAGCGCTGGCCGCTTGGGACAGCATACCGCAAGTTGATGTCAGAAACATCATGCAAAATGAAAAAGCATGCCAGATCGAATGCAAGCGGTTATCAGGGCTAGAGGAGGAAACACCCGATATTAAAACTGATAGACAATAAAGAAACAGATTTAATTTTTAACTTTGTAGTGTTTTTAAAGTGACAATGGAAAGATGTTAATTTTAGTGAAAACATGTTATCTTGAAAAGAAAAATTTCGGTGAAGTAAACATTAAATTTCTATGTTCTAAAACCATTAGAGACACTTATTGAATGCATCTACCCTTAATTTACTGTTAAAAAAACGTTTCAGCGCAAATAATCAGCAAATTCACGAGTGGCCAAGTTTCCGTGCCGGTGAGTGTAGTAGTAAATGACTGAAAAAAATCCTGTTAAAAATGAATTTGACACAAAAAATGAGTAAAGTATCAATACTAGGTGGTTCGACTCCTTTTTTGCCTAAAAGACCATTAAGATACCACCCCTCCTATTTATTTCTACTGACAAATAGCAGTGCTAGCACTGCTTTCTTCCAGACTGGAGGGTATGAAGAACCAGTATAAATACCTCCATGTTGTAAGCCATTGCATCTTGCTTAGAGGTGTCGATCTGTGGCCTTGTTTGAATTTGGAAGCAGTTGTCCGTAGACTGCAGTACCCACTTACCATCAGGTGGATTGAAAGCTTGTTTGTCACATCGGTTTTATAAGAATATAACTCATTTAATAATAATAATGTTCTCCAGACCGAATTCCGGTCACGGCGGAGGCTAGCCATCAGCGCAGGACTGGATTATAGTGCCCAAGTGTATGCGCAAGCATAGGTGCACTCTCTATTCCCTCACTTTCGTAATCCGATGGGACGGTAACCACCGACCGGGAACAGCGCAGACCAACGGCTTTACGTGTTTTCGGAGGCACGGGGGTGATACACCGCCAACTTCCTGACTCCGGGTAGCTACTGAGAATTTATTGACAGAAAAACTCATAATTGATTTTTTGGCCGCTCCGGGATTCGAACCCAGGGCTGATCATGAGATCAGCAGTCGCACTACTACAACCACTAGACCAACGAGGCAGTCATAACATACCTTATATACATAACTCATATATGTAAACATTATCATCATAAGAATAAAGATGTTCATACTTGAAATACTAGGAACAAACATAAGCTTGTAATGCCAGTTACTAGATTCCACAGAGTTAGTAATTCATTTATGGGGCAATGTATACGCTTTTACAACAAAATCCCAGAAAATGTACAAAATTTATCATTACAAAAAAGTTTAAAGTTACAGCCTATATACGTCACACTGCTGTGCACATGCCTCCTCTCGTTTTTGAGAGGGTGTTAGGGCAAGGAAGCGCCCGCAGCTGCCCCAATGCGCGTTGGCGAATTTTATCTCTTTGGAATATTTTTTATTTCTCTGACATGCAGGTTCCTCGCGATGTTTTCCTTCACCGCCGAGTGCGTGGTAAATCAGCACTTAAAATTGCAATTAATAATTTCATTGGTGGCGGCGGGTATCAAACCCAGGTTGCTCGCGTACTGTGAAATTTACAGCAAGTGCTAACCATCTGAGCTACCACGGCTCCCAAATTTGTCATTAAACAAGTTTAAATGATTTAGAAAAATTGTACAAAAAGAGTTATTATAATATAAATGAATACATAAATGAAAATAACCCCTGGGAATGAGGAGTTTGCCACCATGTTGGTTCTTTAAAAATTCATACAAAAATTGTACAAAATAAATTTGTTGTAAATTAAATATGTAAAAAAAGTCCCACTGGGTTTCTTGCTGGTTCTTCCCAGGACAGAGGTTTTTTTTGCGAACTAGTGGTAAATAAAAAAATGACTTTCAATAAGTATTATACAATAATCTATATTGAATAAAAATTATTCATTTTATTTCATTTCATTGTAGAATTGTTATTTGTTACGATTTGTTTTGATTGAATAATATCATCATCATCATTATATCATCCTTTCAAAATTACACTGCTGAAGTCCTGAGCTACCTGCATCCATCGACTTCATGCATGTCTTACCAGGTCGTCATTTCATCTAATGGGAGGCCGCCCTACATTTCTGGTATCAGTACAAGGGTCACTCAAGAACCTTTATACCACATTGGTTGTTGGTTTCTGGTTCTTGGATGTTTTAGCATATTGATCTGTTGGAATATACCGGTTACTCTGGTTCTATTGATTAAAACTACTATTACGGATTTTATCGCGTTTCATTTATTTGATTTTTAATTGAACTTAAAAATTTTAATTGGATGTTGATGCTTCACGTCAGCTGACGTGAAACATCAACATTTCCGGAAAGTGTGCAGTTTGTGATCATATCCTAGATAGTCCCCATCATTACATCCGATTTGATAGAACACAAATCCTCGTGAAAGAACATCGATTCCTACCAAGGATGTTTCGTGAGGCAATTGAAATAAAAAAAACATCCTGATTTCAATAGAGAAGGAGGCTGGGTACTACCACCTGCTTGGGATTCTATAATTAATAAAATTAAAACTAAACACAAGTATACCACTGCAAGACTTCAAGATACAGTATGTTCATTCTGCGTAAATCGAACCATAAATAATAATTTGAAAGCTGAAGGTCCGGCGTATTGGTGATGACGGATACGAGTACATTGACATCCGGACGTCATTCGACCTCAGTCCCCCGTGGCCATGGGTGCTGGAAACCACCCGAAACGTCGGAAATTAAAAATCAAATAAATTAAACGCGATAAAGTCCGTAAAAGTAGTTTTAATCAATGTGTAGAGTTCGTGTAAATATAAAAAAATCATTCTGGTTATACTGCGGATTTCTTAATTACGAATTCTATCAGGCAGAGAAAACCCCAGCATAGCCCTCCATCCATAACTTATATTTTATAAAATGTTCATAGTATGTATAATTTGTGTCTAAAAATGATCTTTATATGGTTGTCCATATGTGCAAACAGTTTGAACTTTGAACAATTTAGTTTACTGGTATGATTAGCATAATTATTTCAGGTATGTGCGGCGACAGGTCACGGATATACCTATGCGCAAACTCACAGGATGTCTATCTCCTTCGCTGCGTCGTTGCGTACGAAATTGAAGCTTAAGAATGACGATATAGTGGCCATTATCCTGCCAAACGTTCCCGAATACCCATGCACTGTACTGGGAGTGTTGGAAGCCGGCTGTATTGCTAGCATGATGAACCCTGCTTATACCGCACGTAAGTAACATCGTTAAAAAATACATATTATTTTTTTTAAACGTAAACAATGCCTTATGGAGTAAGGAGGTAGTTATATTAAAGTTGTTAGAAACTAATTTGCTTATTTCCGTTTAATGAAATATAATGATGTGACCTGCCCAGTTTGTAATGAAATATAATGATGTGACCTGCCCAGTTTGAAGTGCACCTCCCGCCCTCCCACTTAAATGCGTGCACTATCACCGTCACAAATCCGATCACCTAACTATTTAAATGCCGTTTTTCAGACGTTTGGGATGCTTTACAGAACTCATGGTCGAGTGAAGGCGGGGGTGAGGGTGAAGATTGACGTGCTTAACGTCCAGATGTCATGGTTGATAAGTCCTTCCGACTTTATAATTTAAATTGAAAGTTTAAAAAACCCCCGAAACAAAAAGGCTGACGATCTTCAAAGGGCTGAAATTTCTTTATTGATTCATCGCTTAGAACACTCAATCAAGTCACCTTTCAAACCAAATAAAATCTAAATCCAAATCGCTTCATTCGTTTGGGAGCTACGATGCCACAAAAAGACAAACAGATACACACGTTAAACATAATAACCCTCTGTTTGCGTCGGGGGTTAAAAATATCAATTTTTGTCTAATCTACGCAGAACAGGCTTACGTATTTCAAAGTCCCAAGCTTATGGCACAGAATAAATAATAGTACTACGTACTTATGGTAGCACCCAGCCCTCTTCTCTATTGAAATTGAGATGTTTATTTTTTAACTTCCCGCTAAGAAAACTGAAAATTTTCAAAAGTAGGGAAGTTATTAGTTTCACCCTAATTTTCGAAAATCGAGTTTTCATCAGATCTCGACGTTTTGAGAAAAAAAAATCGGTTTTTTTTTTTTTTTTTTAAAAATTATAATTTTTTGTCCCAGGAAGCTGTTATGAGTAATTTCACGTGGACGTCCGTACGGATGTATGTATGTGTGTTTGTGTGTATTTTTTTATAGGATAGGGTAACAAACTAGCGCACAGTCCACCTGATGGAAAGTGGTTGCTGCGGCCCATAGACATCTACATCTATCCTCGATTACAAATCAAAATGCAGATGCGTTGTCACCCGTGAGGACTAAGATGGAATGCCTCGTCTCCAGTAAAAAGGGTCTCCGGTAAGTATGTAAATCTTTTATAACTGAACGTCTTGATCGATTGAGATGCGGTTGCGGCGTTCTAAAGATCTCATGGTGGTATAGATTTGATGGTAATATGAACTGATTCGGACGAGTACATTTTGAGAAATCTCAAAAATAGAAATTTTGAAAATCTGTTTTTTGGAATAACTTTTAAACGGCTTTACCGATCGATTTAAACTAATCAGCTCTTAACCTCAAAAAATGACGTCGAATGCCGTTTAGAAAATAAAAATCGGTTCATTCGTTCGTGAGATATCGAAATAGAAAGAATTTGAAAAAAAAAAAACGTTTTTTTTAACATAACTTCGAGATTTCGCAACATAATTTGGTGAAATTTGGAGCGCTTTGCATTTGAAATTAGCGGGAAGTTCCAGGGATGGCCTGCAGGGTCAACCAATTTTTTTATTTTAAAAGTCTCGTGAATCGTCCTTTTGGTCGGAATCGGTGTTCTTTTCCGTGGATTTGTGGTCTATCAAATCTGATTTAGTTAAGATGGGTCCAATATTTCATATCCATAACCATTTATGTTCTGGTGGGTTGTATAATTTACTTTAGTGGGTTATTATATTTTTATGTCATAAATATCTAAAGTAGATCGATGGGTGATGGCGCTGTCTAAGACTTGACAACAAAAAATTTCAGAAATGCTCAATGGTGACCAGCCAATATTTGCGGAAAATAAACATTTCTTTTCCTTTTGGGCATGGGCCTCATAATGTTCGACGACGAAAGAGAAATCATCACTCCATTACGTACTGTAGGTGTGTTTAAAGGCAAAAATGGCGTAGACCAGAAAGACCTGGATTTCCGATAGATGGCCGTATAACTAATATTCTAGATGTATAATTGCAACCAGTTTTAAATGTGTTATAGTATTAATAATATTAAGATCTTGTGACTATACCCTGCCCATTATATGATCATAATATGATTATTTTATTTATATGGCGATGACGATGACATAGTAAAGAAATACAGCTCATGTGAAAAATAAAAGAAGATTGTAAAATAAACAATAAATGATTTTATCGCGATTTTTCATTCATGTTAAATTTAATTTATTATAAACCGAGTAGTCCACTTCCCTTTAATATGGTCGAGGAGGGCACGGGTGCCGTATGCATCGTACTTGTGGACTTGCTGCTTGTAAGGAACTGGTCTATTCAGGTTCGATTGTTAATCGTCGTTTTTTCAGTACATAATAGAACATATCCCAGTTACCGATGGGTCTGTTATCGTTTTCCATTCTGTTTATACTATTCTTAGCAATATTTACTTAAAAAAAATGCCATGGTCAGGGGAACCTCATTTTGAAGCGGTAGCAAATTTAGTACACTGAAAAAATAATGACAAAGAAATTTTATTTTCTTACGCCGAAGAAAAAATATATTTCATTTCTTAAAGTTGCGTGCTTTACAGCACCTATTATCGCTGGTCTTCCCACAGGCACCCGAAATGTCGAAAGATAGAATTATAATAAAACAAATTACAAGTAAAGGCGACAGAATCCATAAAACTAAATCTGTAATTATTTTGATAATTATGTGAATCTCTAATTACATTATTTTTATATTAAAAAAACACGTACAAATTATAACTTCCTTGTTTTTAATACTTGAAAACCGGGTAACCTTTTCATATAACCTGCTTCGTTGCACTTCAGTTGCCGCGTAAACAATTGTTTAGATTCTGTAATAATAGTTGAGATGCACGCCATTTAAAGCGTGGATATATTTAATTTTTAATAATAAACAACTAAAGATATTAATATTTAATTCGCAACCATCCGCTCAATTAAATACAATGATGTGTCTTACCTGGATTAAAGAGCACCTCCCGCACTCCCTCAATTGCATGCACTAATCCCGTCACCACCAGTCCCAGCACCACTACTCCCCGACCCTAGTGAAGCCTTATGAAGGCCACTGTGATCATGAGCTATAAGATTGTTCGATGTACTTTTCTCTCTTATATAAGGAGATCTTATGTGTATCCTCTAGTTTTTGCTGCATTCAACACTAGGCCTGAGTCGTGACACCGTTTATTTTAGTTGTTGAAGTCGTATTGCAAATTATTTAGTGCTACTTGTGGATCTTTTGCAGCAGATGTGATACACGTTTCATCCGCATATTAATGTACTTAAATACTGTACCTCTTACAGTATTTAAGTACATTAGTCATGTCGTTAACATAAGCCAGAAAGTGGAGTGGACCGATCACCGGACTCTGAGCCGTACCTGTCGAGAACGATACGGGCTTACTTAGGAATACATCTATTTTTACTCTAAGTTCTATCTTAGTATTGGCACTATATTTACTCTAAGTTCTATCTTAGTATTGGCACCAGTTTAGTATTACACCTCGGATTCCGGTACTTTCTAGCTTATTTGTTAGTTTTTTATGACCAAGCGTATCAAAAGTGCGGGAAAAATCAATAAATGTACTAGAATGTGGACTTTTCCATTTAGATAACTATTGATCTCATCCGCAAATGTTTGCAGCAACGTTGTGGTGCTATTAACCTATATTGGTTCGTACTAAGTATATTATTTAGCTTATAAAAGTTTTTTTTAATAAGCTAAATAATATACTTAGTACGAACTTTTAAAAGTTATAGAATCTGTTCACAAACGTATTTCTTCACTATTTTGTCGATAGCGGGTAAAAAAGTTATGGGCCGGTAATTCGATACAACTCCTTTAGAATCCTTTTTATTATTATTATTATTATTATTTATTTCATTATTCAGGTAAGTACACCCATTTTGTTAGTAGACTTAAAACTTAGGGGTTAGTAGATTCACAAAATACATAAATTATTACTATACAAAAATTATTTATTTATTATTAAACATATTGGGTCTGGAACCCATATGCACTGTGTTCCAGTACCTCATCACAGGGCAATCTTGCCTTCCATATATGGAAGCTAGGAGGCCGTTGGTGCTGTCTCGCACGCGACGCATTAAGGAGGCTATTCTTTTGCGTAATATTGCTGCAAAACTGTCCACGCGTGCCTCAGAAAACATACGCGATGCGCTGCAAAAGCGTGGCAGCCCCAACAACATCCTGAATCCATTGTTGTACTGAACACGCAGCGCATGTACTCGTCAAATTCTCAATTTGACGAGTACACTTCGTCCACAGGCTGCAGGTGTAGAATGTCTGACAGTAAGCTTTGAATAACGTTATCTTAACTTCATTTGTACACCTAGCAAACCTGCGGGCAAGTATATTACACCTCACTGCCAACGCTCTACGTTCCCGTTCAACATCTAAATTGTCAGAAAGGTCCTCGGCGACCCAGTGTCCCAGATATCTGAATTTGGTGACTCTACTCAGTGTAACTCCTCCAAGTTTAACATGAGGAACAGACTTAGGTTTTCTATTTCCAGCCTTAAACACGAGTAGTTCACTCTTATTACAATTATATCTGAGACCATGAGCCGCCGCGTACCTTTCACAGATGCCCACTAGCGTTTCGAGGGCCCTGATCGAAGGACTCAGCAACACCATGTCATCGGCATAGCTTATATTATTAACAAAATGACCGTCAATTGAGCAGCCGACTCCGGCATCACTGAGCTCCACGATCAGACCGTTGATATACAGGTTGAAAAGTTGGGGGGAGCTAAGGCCGCCCTGCCTCACCCCACACTCCAACCTGTACTCCGACGAATATGACGATGAATTTTTAAAGATGAGTCGCACACAGCCAGTCTTTAATTCCTCCGGATACTTATTAGGAAGCTTGCGTTTATGAGGTTAGCGATGGCAGTGTATAATTTGTCACCTATCTTTTTAATATCTAATACATTAATCACGTTTAAACCT